TCTCCATAAGAACAAATAACCTTTCAGCACCAGATCGTACATGTATGAAAATAAAGACAAAAGAAGCTCTGGTGAAAATCCCAACAGCCTCAATGTCTCAATAAAAATATAAACAGTTTGTTTCCAACATTCAGCAGATTTGAATCTGCCAATCAGACTGGTTTCCTGCAGCTGTGTGGGTTTGTGCTCTGCAGCCTCCATGTTAGCTGTGGTTCTCGCCTTAATGTAACAATGACAGATAAAAGCATCGACTGAAAGAATCGTTCAGGAAGCTGCTGTGATCTCACACAGCCTCATAAATGATCCAGGAGTTATTATGGGATGTTCTTCTGCTCCCAGTTATTCCAGTTTCTCTCACTTCAGTTTGCAAACAGACATGTTGCGTTTTAATGCACAGCAGCTCTCAGCTATGAAAAGTGATGCAAACCGTGACAAATCATTCCAGATATTTAATATTTAATAGTTTAATGTGACAGATACATATTTTATTTAATGCAAATGAGAAACATGCAAATCAGGTAGAATACAAACAAAAATGAAAAAGTGCAACAGCTGTTGGTAAAATGTTCTTACTTAAAGCCGTGAGGTTAGAAATGAGCCATCAGTCTTTGGTTGATCAGCAGCTTTAACAGCCAAACATCAGTTATTTACAGACCAGAACAGAAACGCCAAGCAACACGAAACAACATGGCAACGTATGGGAGGAGATCTGTGACTGGATTACAAGTCAGAAATGGGATTATAAAAAATAACAACCACCTCACTGATACTCCCCAAGACCTGGAGTTTAACAAAAGACACATTAAATACAGATAAATGTGAATTTATGCATTTCTGAATGCAGAAGAAATGTCTCTGCAGCTAACGAGTTTCCACAAACATCCTGAAACTGATTTCAGGTCATTGATGAAGAACCGACAGCAAACTTCTGAGATCAGAAATATTTCTTCAGTAAAATCAAACAGATTTATTGTCAGTAACATCATTAAATCCAAGCAATGAAACTATAAACCGAAGCTAAAAATCCATCAGTTTAAAGCTGCTTTTAATGAACAAACCGTCGCCTGACTTTAATCGTTTGACATTAATTTACTGCAATATGGTTTCCTGATCATTTTCCTTCTGTTTATGCAATTTAGATACCGGTAGGTATTTTGGTCCATATAACAGTCAGAGTGAAACCAGTGAACCTTTTGTAAAGATCAGAACCTCCACTGGACGACTTTGTGTTTGTGATGTAAAGCATTTTGAAATGCCGTGCAGCTGAAATGTGTCATACAAATAGAATTTGATTGATTGATTGATTGATTGATTGATTAATTGATTGATTGATGATGTTGCTGGAAAATGTCCTACAGTTCATTTTATTACTGCGACTGGGTGAATGTGTGATGATGTCATAAATGAACCCGCAGTGACCCTGGAGGAGCTAATGAAGCTAATTTATATTCAGACCTTTAGCTTCGAGCTAACATCGTGTCCATGGTGACAGCTGATGAGCGTGGCATGTTGAGGTGATTCCAGGTAGATTTCAGAAACTGTCAGCTGGTTTTGGGATCTTAGTCTCATGTTGGGACGGTGCATCCAAAGGCCGCTCCTCTGGGGTCAAAGTTCGAATTAGCTTCACTTCTCTTTCCTCTGGAGCTTCACTGAATGAAGAACAAACACGTTTTAACCCAAAAGCCAACAGACAGTTTATCATGTGAGACCTCAGGTTTTACTCTGATGTCACGCAGGCGAGTCGCTTTGGGGCCGTAACCCGAATCTGACTGCGTTTGAACGTAAATTAGCAGCATGTGGAATTAAAAATGGAGTTGAGCTTTAAGACAAAGCTAACAGAACGTAGCCTTATATCTCCACCAGAACCGGTCCGGGTTCCTCACATCAAACGTTTCCAAGTTCCATCAAGTCGACATTCAGGTCACTGAGTTTTCATGTTTTAGAATCCTCCATCTCTTGAAAGACCCACCGTACTCTCCTCATCTCCACGTGGTCAAACAGCTGTTTGAGACATGTGGACATGTGAAGACAACCGAGTGAAAGTGACCGTCTGTTCAGTCAGCGTTGGCGTTTGTTCCTGCAGAGTGGCTCTTCATGTGGACGTTCAGAGTTCCTCTCTGGATGAAACTTTTCCCACAGGTGCTGCAGGTGAACGGTCTCTCGCCGGTGTGCGTTCTAACGTGAGCTTTCAGGTCCCCCTTACTGATGAAACACTTCCCGCAGCGTTCACACAGGTACGGCCTCTCGCCCGTGTGCGTCCTCATGTGGACCTTCAGCGCTGCGTTTTTGGTGAAGCTTTTTCCGCAGGTTTCGCAGAAATGCAGCCGGCCCTGCGTGTGGATCCTGCGGTGGGCTTTGAGCGACGTGTAGTTCCCGAAGCCCTTCCCACACGTCTCGCAGGGGAACGGCCTCTCGTCCGCGTGGGTTCCCCTGTGGAAGTTCAGGTTGGTCACCACCGTAAAACTTTTGCCGCAGATTTCGCAGGCGTACGGCCTCTCGCCGGTGTGGATCCGCATGTGGACGTTCAGGCTGACCACCTGAGAGAAACTTTTGCCGCAGGTGTCGCAGGAGAAGGGTCGCTCGCCGGTGTGGGTCCGGATGTGGTTCTTCAGGTGGCCGCTCTGCGTGAAGCCTTTCCCGCAGATCGTACAGGCGTACGGCCGCACGCCTGAGTGGATCCTCTGATGGCGGTTAAAGTGATGCTTCTTCTTAAAGACTTTCCCACAAACGTCGCATTTGACCGATTTATCAGCAGCGGACGTCGTCGTGTTGGGGAAGCTGCTTTCTTCATGGCTCTGGTTCCCAGCCGAAGGGAAGCTGACGGCGTACAGACGCTGGATGTTGGGTTCTCCCTCGCTGACGTCGGCTTCCTGACTCAGAGGCTCGGTGAAGTCGAAGTGCTCCTGCTTCAGGATGAACTGCTCCACCTGCTGGCCGCCGCACGCCTCCTCTTCCTCTTCCTCCTCTTTAATCTGCAGCAGCTCGGCTTCTTCCTCTTTAACCGCCTCCCGGTCCGGTTCAGTTGGAGGTTCTGGTTCGTCCAGCTCCTCTTTAACCTCTGCACATCGCGGCTCCTCCTGTGGAGGTTCTGCTTCCTGCTGGTTCTGATTCAACCAGGAATATTCTGGTTCTGGTTCTGGTTCCGCCGGGTCTTCACCGGCGCTCTGGTCAGTCTGAACCCCATCCTCACCAGGGAAACGATGATTTGGGCGCTCTGCAGGGGAAAGAAATGATGGAGATTGTGAAGTGAAATCCGTCATGGAGCTGCAGGTTCGTCAGGAAAAAGCCGCCGTTTCTCCTCAGGACTTCATCAGCTGTACTTTCATTTCTGTATGTTGCTCTCTGAGAACCTTTGGCCTACTTCATGTTGTCAGATGGTTCTATTTCAGAGATTTCATCAGTCTGTCAGCCAGGCAGAGACCAGCTCTGGGTTTAGGAAGTAAAATAGGATCAGAAATGTGTTCAGGATGTAACATGAGTAAAATTTGATTTAAAAACAGTTTAATGGATTAAACTGCTCCAAAAGCTAAAAACATCTCAGTTTATAGCAAATCAACCAAAGACTGCAGTGAGTTGTTAGCAGTTTCTATGACGTCATATGACATCATTAATGATGCACCAATAGGGATCATTCATTTCTTCATGGTTTATGTCCTGAATCAGTCAGAGGAAAAGTTCAGATAAATTTTCCTCAGTCTGTAAATAAAGCATATCAGATCCAAACAGAGCTGTAGAGAAAGTTGATGGATTTCTTTTCTGACTAGTTATTGATAACTTGATGATGCTGCGTGCTGGGTTTCAGCTGGTTACCATGGTGACTCGGTAACCGGCCCAGTTAAAGCCCGAGTTTCATCCAGGTTGTTTATTCTACCGGATCAGAAACAAACTCCTGAATGTTCTGCAAAATGGCTTCAGTTCATATTTTCACCGCGCGGATTCATTTATTGCTTTGTTTCTGTGATTTCTTACCGGTTCCGGTTGTTTTTATCTGAGCTTCATTCCTGCAGGTTTCCAGAACTTTAATCTCCTCCTCGTAGCTAATGATGGTTTTTTCGACCTGAGTGAAGATTTCCTCCGCAGCAGCAGTTAGTCTCTCTCTGATGAAATCCCTCAGCTGCTGAACTGAACACATGGTGACTGAAATATCAGCTCAAACACGAAGCAACCAGCGGAAGCAGCTGCTCTGTTTTCCTTCCGCTGGGGTCAAACTGAGACTCAGCAGCTGATTGGTCCGTTTCCGCCCTGCTGGACTGCAGGGGAACTGCAGCCTGCAGCCAAATGGATCACATTCTCTGAACCAGAGCAGAACTTCTCTAAACTGTTAATCAACTAGAAATTAATCAAGCAGAAGTTCTTTTCATTTCCTTCAGTCCCTCCTCGTTAATAAAACGTGTTAAATGTGAGTCCAATAATACTTTCAGATTTAGACCTGCCTGTATTCACAGGTTGTGTCACTGACCATCAGGACATCCAGACATGCAGAGGTCAGGCCCACTCAGGGCTGCAGGGTCACAACCAACGCTGGCTTCAGGTCAATCTAAATAAAAACCAACTGTGCTGCTCTGGAATCTGTCTCGTTAAAAGAAGGGAAAAAGGGAAAAGAAAGATTCTTATTTTATGCTGTGAGTCGCAGCAGTGCAGAGACACCAGGTTGAGCTCAGGTATTATGTCAAAGTACCTGTGGATATTCTGAGCTCTGGAGTAGAAACATCACTCAAAACACGTCCACACCGATGACAAAACACCAAAATGTGACTGACGAGGCAGATGATCAGCATCTGCTGATAGAAAATATCAACACAATGTTTAACCAGAGTTATGCAAACAGCATCAACACTGCTGGCAGCTTTGAATTATTGTTGATATTGTGACTCCAGAACCTGACTGGTGCTGATTTGGGACAAACTGGTTTCTCTGCATCAGGACTCAACATGTGGAGCTGAAACTGAACTGAAATCATAAACTGAAGCGGTCAGAATCGGCCCCAAACAAGGCAACTTTATTCACTGAGGACATCCAGGGCAACGCAAGGTTTCACAGAACATTGAACAAAATCAGAACTTTACAATGTTGCTTAACAATCAAGTTCAGTCTGTCAAACATTTAGAAATCAATTAACAGAAATAAATGTTGAAACATATTTAACCTTCAAACGTCGTTCAGGAGAAACGCTTCATTCATCAGAGTCTTTGAAAGCTGATGAAAACACAAATGTTTAAGTTTTTCATCAGAACATCAACCACAGGGAACACGGACTTTAACTGGACCATTATGGTCCAGTTAAAGGCTCATCCAACCTCCTCTACATATGAAGATCAGCCACCATGGCGACATCCTTTCCTTTCATCCCATTTTCATGACTCCTGATTCACATACATTAATATTGAACTGTATGGACCTTTTGGTCGTATTGATGGAAGAATTATGTTCAAAATGTTAAACATTAACTGCTGCAGCTGATTGGTACCTTTATCATGGCTGTGAAAGCAAACGCCTGGATGACGGAAACATCTGGAGCAGAACTGAGAAACGACTCACCAGAAACCTTCAAACCTTCAAACCTCAAACCTTCACACCTCAAACCTTCAAACCTTTAAACCTTCAAACCTTTAAACCTTCACACTTCAAACCTTCAAACCTTCACACCTCACCAGAAACCCCTCACAGGTTTGTGGACTTTCTGGTGACAAACCAGTTCATTCATACTATTAAAGCTTTCATCGCATGCTTGGCATGAATATGGCTGCTCCACTGTGTGGGTCTTGATGTGGAATTTCAAATACCATTTTTCACGGAAGCTTTTCCCACAGATTTCACATGAAAAAGGCTTAACGCCTGTGTGAGTTTTTCTGTGAACTTTCAAACAAAAACTTCTGCTGAAACGTTTCCCACAGGTTTCACATGAATAAGGTTTGTCACCTGTGTGAGCTTTCCTGTGAACTTTCAGGCTGGATTTCCTGGTAAAGCTTTTCCCACAGGTTTCACAGGAAAAGGGCTTGACACCTGTGTGCATTTGTAAGTGCTCTTTCAAATGACATGTCTGCACAAACACTTTTCCACATATTTTACAGCGCAATGGCTTCTCCCCTGAGTGTTCTCTGAGATGTCGCAACATGTTATACTGAGATTTAAAGGCTTTCCCACAGACACGACACTCACAGGATTTATCTGGGACCGATTCGGCCCAACTCGCTAACACAGGACTGCAGCTTCCTGCTTCATCCTGGTTCTCCAGAGCAGAAACATTGTTAGAGTCCAGATGCTCAATGTTTGCTTCTTCTTCACTGAATTCAGTTTGTTGCAGAGTCTGAGTGAAATGAAGACTCTGTCCCTCCTGACTGCAGCAGACTTCCTGCCGTTCCTCTTTCACACCAGGAGCTTCTGGTTCCTCCTTCAGCAGCTGATGTCCCAGCTCCTGGTTGCTGTCGCCATCTTGTGGAGGCTCAGACTCCTCCTGGTTCTCATTTAAACTCATCATGTGACTGCAGAGCCGGCTGCCAGTGAGAACCTCATCTTCCTCATCTTCCTGTTGCTTTGGGACGGCTAGAGAAACACAAAACATACCAGATCAAATATTTGGTTTAATTATGACCATTTTTAAAACTCCCATAAATTATCTGCCTCAAAGATTTACTAAATCAAGTTTTAATATTTTAATACTCTCACTTCCTTCCACCAATGAGCTGTTGATGAAAGCTAATTGTTATTAGCAGCTATGGAGGAAGAAACAGCGAGAAAAAGAGTCACTCAGTGTGTTATGGGAAACAGACCTGGCAACTTAAAATGTCTGCTTGAAAAAACACCGGATGAACAAAAACAGTTCATCCAGAGCCACTGATCACATCATGTCTTCATAATCACTGAATAAACCACAGAATGAAACAGAAACAACTGGATCAAAGATCTGATCATCTTTCATCTGGAGGGATAATTTCAAAATAAACATGATCACTTTATAATTACTAATTACAAACTTCAGCCATTTATTAAGTCACCTCTGAAAATGAATTCGCTTTAATGTTAATCGGTTTTTCGATTTCTGACTTGGACCAGCAGGTGTCGCCATGGAGCTCTGATTGCGAAACTTTTCCATAAACGAACATTTTTCTCCAAACAAGGAAGTTTCTCTGATTAACGGATTCATCTGTTCATTTTTAACGTACCGGTTCCGGTTGTTTTTATCTGAGCTTCATTCCTGCAGGTTTCCAGAACTTTAATCTCCTCCTCGTAGCTAATGATGGTTTTTGCTACCTGAGTGAAGATTTCCTCCGCAGCAGCAGTTAGTCTCTCTCTGATAAAATCCCTCAGCTGCTGAACTGAACACATGGTGACTGAAATATCAGCTAACAAACAATAAAACGACACAAAGCCGCTGCTGCCGCTGCTGGAGCCGCTCTGTTTTACTTCCGCTTGGGTCACACTGGAACAAAGCAGCTGATTGGCCCGTTTCTGCCCCCTGCTGGCCTGGAGCGGAGCAGCAGCAGAACTTCTGTAAACTTATTAATAGAGCAGATATTAACTGACAATAAAAGTAAATATTGATATTATTTGTTTCAGGGCTTCATTATCCTTGTTATATTCTAATAATCCCTGTGGAGACGTGAGTCAGGTAAAACTTTATTTACATGTTGTAATGTTATAAACGTTTTAAAATAAAAACAGCCAAAGGTCAATTTTCTCCTACTATATCTGTGTCACTCTTTTACAATTAGTGTCTCTGCCAGGTGATTGGTGATCTGATTGATGTTATAACAGAAATTAAAACATTAAAGACAAAATCTTAAAACTAAAAATAATGGTTAACATTTAATGTTTGTAATCAATGAATAATAATAATAATAATAATAATAATAATAATAATAATAATAATAATAATAATAATAATAATAATAATAATAATAATAATAATAATAATAATAATAATATGCTTTTGTCAATATAATAGCAAAGAAATTACAGCAAAAACAAAAATTTTAAAAAGTTTTTGGTGTGCTGCACAGTGGTGCAGTTGGTAGCGCTGTTGCCTTGCAGAAAGAAGGTCCTGGGTTCCATTCCCGGCCCGGGGTCTTTCTGCACGGAGTCGAAAAACATGACTGTCAGGTTAATTGGTCTTTCCAAATTCTCCCTAGGTGTGTGTGTGTGTGTGTGTGTACATGGTTGTTTGTCCTGTTTGTCTTTGTGTTGCCCTGCGACAGACTGGCGAACGCAGCTGGAGAGGCACGAGCAACTCCTGACCCCGTTAGGGTGACGGGTGACGGAAAATCACGATAAAACAACAGTTTTCTAGATGAAGCCACACAACCTGATAGTAAATCCTTTAGTTTTCCTTTGGCTGGATGTCACCATAAATCAGTTGGTTGGAGCGGAACAGCATAACGTCACCTGAAACATACCTGAACTTTTTCATTCTTTAAATTTTTGGTGCACCAAATAATTACTTGTATGGTTTTTGTGGAAAGAAACGCAACAAACTAACACCCAGAATATGGCTCTCAAGAGGTGGCTGAATTTTTGTGAAACCCTTAGAAAATATTTCAGTTCTTCAGTGAATAGGATTAAATTTCCTAAAGGCTTAAACCATTGGGTAAAACCTAATAAAAAACAGTGTCTCGTAAAACCCCAAAATGAAGAAAAGGTTCAGTTCTGATTCAGAACTGTCATTTTGCTGTTCCAGTCCGGTCCAGCAGGGGGCGGAAGTGGTCCAGTAAACGCCTCTCTGTCAGTGTGACCTCAGCGGAAGTAAAACAAAAGGATCCAGTATCGGGTTGTGTGGCTTCATCTAGAAAACGGTTGTTTTATCGTGTTTCTGCTGGTATTTCAGCAAACATGTGTTCAGTTCAGCATCTCAGAGAGTTTATCAGAGAGAGACTAACTGCTGCTGCGGAGGAAATCTTCACTCAGGTTGAAAAAACCATCATTAGCTACGAGGAAGAGCTCGATGCTCAGCGCAGGATGATGGGGATCAGCTGGAAACCAGACATTAAGCTACACAGAGTCGGTTCGGAGCTGCAGAGACAAAGTTCTGGTGGGTCTGGATCAAATGTTTTCACTGCAGATAATTAATCTGAGACAGAGGGAGAAAGATGGAGGTAAAAGAAGATTAATGATGCAAAGAGTTTCGGTCATATCTGATCAGAAAACACAGATCATTTGAGGAGTTTCACTTCTTAATATTGTTTCTAAGTGAGATGCAGTTCAGGAGGATTTTGTGGTTTTGATATTTCTGCTATTTGATCCTCCTTTTGCTGGATTTTCAATTTTCCACTTAAATCCCCTCAGAGTCTCATTAAAGTAACTGAACACAAACTGTTATCATCTCTGTGTCAGCAGAACCAGCCCACAGATAAAGCTGCTGAGATGCACTGACAGCCATACCAGGGGTACGAACCAGGGTTCAGTCCTGGGAGCAGAACCTGTCTGAGTTTGAAATGTGACCTGATGGAGTGAATCATAGTTTCTGTTTAATCCAAAGAACTTGATGAATAAGATTGAAACAGTTTCACTGCAGTTGGACGGTGAAGTGATGCTGTTTCTGATAACTGTCTGAAGTTGCTGATGTGAAATACATCAAGTATTTGTTGGCTTATTTTACCTTAACCCAATATTCTTACTTCTTTGTGTCAATAAAACATAATGTGTTCTTTACTGGCTCAGGAGGTCAGAGTTCATCCTGGAACTGGTAGTTTTACTGCTTTAAACTGGTTTACACTCCATTTATCATTCATTAAAGTAACAGTGTGTTAATATTATATCTGCTCTGCACCAGATGTCACTGACATATTGCATTTTATTACACACTGTTTTGCCAGAGCTCCAAATCTGTTGATCACTTATTGATCTGATAGATCAGACAGTCATCAATAAATCTATGTATATTAATGATCCCTTCCTTTGTCCCCACAGGCCTCCAGGATCCTCATGTGTCGGTGAAGGAGGAAGCTGCTGCCGTCCAGCAGGAGCAGAGGTCCAGGCATGGAGCTGAGTCTCAGTGGACTGATGTAATGGAAACGTTTTTAATGTTCCTCTCATCCCTCTGGTGCTTCAGATCAATGTTTCCCAAGCCTGGTCCTCCTGATCCCTGCCCTGCATGGTTTAGGGTTTTCCTTGCTTCGGTCCATCTGATTTCAGTTGATGACTGATTAACAGGCGTTTGTTGAACTGCAATCAGTTGAATGAGGGACATTAAAGCAGGGAAACGTCTGAAACATGCAGGACAGAGAGCCTTGAGGACCAGGGCTTTAGGTTGTGTCTGCAGGATTTTATCATGAAATACGTCGAGCTGCTCTCCTATAAACTTCCATTCAGTAACAACAACCCTGTGCTTAACAATAGACAGATGGCAGGACCATCAGTTTGGGCTCCACTGAATCCTTGGTGCAGAACAACCAACGATTCACATCTATAGTCCAATCAAGTCTCTTCTCTCTGTTGGAAACACCCAGAGAACCAGAGGGAACGCCTGAGCAGAACCTGTAGAACCTTCTACAGGTTCAGACCAGAACCTTCTATAGACCAGAACCTATAAAAGGTTCTGCTCTGACCAGAACCCGTAGAAGGTTCTGGTCAGACTTGACTCTGTATTTCTGCTCTCACCTTACAAAGTTTTAATAAACTCCTTATTTCTTCTCATCCAGACTCTTGTTAAAGTCATTTGTTCTGAAGAGGAACAGATGGAACCAGAACCTCCACTGACTGAAGAACATTGGGAACCAGGATCTCTATGGATTAAAGAGGAAGAGGAGGAGACACAATCTGCAGTGTTTGATTTTGAAGAGCAGGAACCAGAACCTTTACCGACCAGGCAGAACCAGAAGCACGTCTGCAGCGGTCAGGAGGGAGAACGGCTCGACCAGAAGCAGTTTGCTGCTCTGATGGAGACTTTCACCCTCCAGAGTCGGGATCTGAGTGAAGGAGAAGCGAGAAGTGAGCGTCCTTCCTTCCAGGTCTCTGCTGAAGCCGAGAGCAAAGAGCAGGAAGGAAGCAGCTCCACTGTGTCAGAGACTCAGACCCACAGTGACGGTCGGAAAGGGCCTGTCAGCTGCGGCATGTGTGGGAGATTACTGAAGAACAAATGACTTAAAACAGCATTTCATGACCCACACTGGAGAAAAACCTTTTACTTGTGAAACATGCAGTAAAAGTTTTGCTCGACGTTCTCAATTAAATGTTCACTATAGAACCCACACCGGTGAAAGGCCTTTTACTTGTTCGATATGCAAGAAAAGTTTCTTTCAAATCGGTCATTTAAATGTCCACAAGAACATTCATACAGGTGTGAGGCCGTTTTCTTGTGAAATCTGTGGGAAAAGTTTTACTAGGCGTTATTTATTAAATATGCACCGGAGAAGCCACACAGGGGAGAGGCCTTTCTCCTGGGACAGCTTTGTGAAGAGCTTCTAGAATAAAACATTTCCTGTATAAACATGTTCTGACCCGATCCAAATATCTCCAGCAAATCAAATCATGAAATCTCTGCATGAAATGTGCACCAGAAAAGCCCGAGGTGGAAAAAACTTATTTGATGCTTTTAGACTCAGACTGACTCTCTGTTAGAAATATTGAAAGTTTTCTTGGTAGTTTTCTGTTTTTACAGTGTTATAAAATAAAGTTTGTGATTTAGACATGCTTAGAAATGAAGGTGAGATGTTTTGACGCCTCTGAACCAGCAGCTCTGAATGGACAAACACATTTTCAGAAACCTTTGCTTCATAGATGCAGTCCAGCATGGTGGTGGAGGGCTGGTGATGTGGGCTCCTTTTACTCTTCACAACCAGAGTCTTCTAGCAGGTCCATCTGTCCAGCAGCTGAAGTTTAGTCCAAATACTGTCGGATGTTTGGGAACTTAAATCATCTCCACTGGGCTGCAGAGAAAACTGGGAAAGTTTTTCACACCAACGATGATAAACTGAAGTTTCAGTTCATAACTTTAAAACTTTATTTTAAAGCTCATAAACTGCTGATGGTTGTTGACTACATTATTTGATTTTTCAATGTTTTTCTTCAAAATATTTGAGTTTATTCCACAGTTGATAAATTAATTTCAGGCTTTTACTGTGAAAACCAAAATGTTTGAATGTTTATTAGTTTTTCTCTTTGTTTTGAATAAGATGCACATTTGGTTTTATAATGTTGAATTTAAACACAGGAATCAAATTAAATTTGGTTGTAATTGTTGCTGCTGTGGTTTTTACAGGACAGTAGATTATGATGAAGTATAAATATCTGTAGATGTTTATCTGTCTGGTTTTACACATCAAGTCGTAATAGTTCTATGATTTGGATAAGATTCATTCTAATTTGTACACCAATGATCTTGGTTGTGAATAAAGCCTCTGCTGTTCACCTGAATCAGTCTGCAGATTATTTTCACGTCAGTTTGAAACCAAACGATCCATCAAGCATCAAAATTCAGATTCAACAGCCTCAGATGGAATCAAAGGAGGAAAAGCTCCTGTGCTGTTTGGGACGCTCACTGAGGTTCATAAAACATTTCATTACAAAATGATATTAGATAATAAGCTTTGATAGTGAAATTCAACCAAAACAATAGAAATGAAAGCTTTGGATCAACGAGGCTCTAAAATGCAAACCTAAAACTCCTGAGTAAAACTTTAACTAATACTAAATAATTCCAAGTATTAAGGATCAGAATGGTTTTTACATTCTGATCTGATTTTATGAAGACATGATTTTCATAATGTTAGACTTCTGAATGTTAAATGAGAAAGTTGATCTGTTTCTGTCACCAAATGCTGATCAAGCGTTTGATAATATTGATTTATTTGACATTCCTGACATGTTACTGACTTACAGGACGACCATAAACTGTTATTTATGGTTTTATTGAAATGTTTCAGAATAAAGAAATAAGCAGCTTTTTTCACTGCATTGGTTTTCAGAACAGAGACGAATCTTTAACATTAAATGACATTTGATCCTCTAGTTTCCTGCATTGTGTCCATCTGTCCGTCAGCAGCCTGTGAATCCGACTGACCGACTGAGAAAGCAGCTGTTTGACTTCCTGATCTGGTTAGATCTGACAGACTCCAATGATGACATCATTCACCGTTTCTGAAAACATTCTGAGACAGAATTTTGAGTTTTTATGATCTGAGAAACATAAACATCAAACTTACAGGAATACGTCTCTATGGATGATGATTTCTGGCAATGTTTCCCTTTCTGAGATGACTGGCAAGAAATAATAATGCATTTTCACACAATATTCTAATTCTTTAATACAAACTGATATATCTTGCTTTGCCCGATTCTTCATCCACATCTGACGTTACTAACGACAAATATGAACATTAGACCACACTTGGTCTAATGTTGCTGCATATTAGAAAAGAAAAGATTTTCTAACATACAGCAACGGTTTTGTTGTTATGGAAAAGTTGCTCAGTTTTGAATTTTCAGCTGCAAATGTTTCCAGTTTCCTCTGCAGCTCTTTGCTTTTTCTACTTTCCATCTTTGAAACCTCAGTGATTGAAACCATAAAACTTCAGGGTTCGTCTCTGAAAGACAAAAAAACAAAAGCTAGTAGAGCAGGTTGCAGCCTGTAACCCTCATTATTAGTGATTCAACATTTATTATTATATATTTAATATTAAACATAAACCTAAACCTGTAGCTATGGAGACACTGCTGACTGTGTTCATACCTCTGATCTGTAAACTGTCTAAAAATAAATTGGACCAAAAACTTTCCATCAATCTGGAGAATCTGCAGTTTGTTACTGCTGTTCATCATTTTGACTTTATTCCACAGTTGATAAATTAATTTTAGGCTTTAATCTCAAAAAGCTTTTCCTAACAAACAGGAAAATCATATTCTTCTGATCTCTGTTGCACTGAAACTAAAAAGGTACTTTCAAATTTAATGCAAGCAAAAATTTTAAAATAAAACAAATTGTCTTCAAGTGTTTAAATTCAACATTTATTATAAAATTCCAACTTGAAGCTTTCAAAAACAAAAAACCTTCTGATAGTAAAACTACTATACAGAATGAGCCGATCACCCACAAACCGGGTTAAACCCACTTTCACTCCCACTCATGTTTAAGCTTAATTAGTATTTCACTTTTTTACAACTAAAAAAAAACTAAGAAAATTCTGAATATATATTGTTAACCAGTGAGAATCAAATGACTATTTCTTACTTCTGTGCTTCCTTTTCATGTGATAATTCAGTTTCCTCTTCTCAATAAAACTTTTGCCACATATTTGACATGAAAAAGGTTTCTCACCTGTGTGGGTTCTCTGATGAACATTTAAGTGATTGCGGATGAAATAAGCTTTCCCACAAACTTCACACGAATAAGGTCTTTCACCCGTGTGAGTTCTCCTGTGAACATTCAAGTTCGAACTATTTATAAAACCTTTTCCACACGTCTCACAAGAAAAAGGCCTTTCACCTGTATGGATTTTCTTATGAATACTTAAATTGCCAATATGAGAAAAACTTTTCCCACAAGTGTCACAGGAAAAAGGTCTCTGACCTGTGTGAATGTTCTTGTGAGTTTTCAAATGATCAATTCGAGAGAAACTTTTGTCACATGTTTCACAAGAGAAAGGTCTCTCACCTGCATGATTTTTACAGGTCTCTCACCTGCATGCCTTTTCTTATGTAGATTTAAATTATCAATACGAGAGAAAGATTTTCCACACATGTCACAGGAAAAAGGCTTCTCACCGCTGTGAACTTTTTTGTGAAGATTCAAGTTATAAATTCGCAAGAATGTTTTCCCACATGTTTCACAAGAGAAAGGCCTCTCACCTGTATGAGTTTGCTTGTGAACTTTTAAAATACCAAATCGAGAAAAACGTTTCCCACATGTTTCACAACAATAAGGTCTCTCCCCAGTGTGGGTTTTGTAATGCTCTTTCAAGTTAAACCTCTTCTTAAACGCTCTCTCACAAATGTCACATTTTAAAGACATGTTGTTTGTGTCAGACTGACTCTCTGTGGAGCTGCTTCCTTCCTGATGTTCACTGTCTGCAGGAGAAATATGAAACAAACTTTGTTCGGTTCTTGGTTCTCCAGAACCTTTTCTGGAGATTTCCTGAAGAGAAGAGTCCATCACAGCGATAGATTCCTCCGGGACAAGCTTGTCTCCCTCCTCACTGCTGCAGAGGCCCTTCTGGTCCTGCCCAGCTGGAAAATGTTTCAGTTCCTGCTGTTCATGTTTAATCCATGAAGAATCTGTTTCTTCCTTTACTTCAACAATCAATATTGAATCTGCTTCTTCTTTTTCTTTAATCCATTTAGATTCTAGATCCTCCTGTTCTTCATTAAGTGCAGGTTCTGGTTTCTTCTGTTCCTCTTCAGCCCATAAAGATGTTGGTTCCTCATTTTCCTCCTCCAAACTTGGGTGTTTTGTGTCCTGGTCTTCCTCTTTAATCCACTGTAATTCTTGTTTCTCCTCTTCTTCTTTAATCCTATGACTGTCTCGGTTCTCTTGTCTTTCGATGAGTGAAGGTGTTGGTTTTATCTGTTTCTCTTTCGCCCATGAAGACATTATTTCCTCCTTTTCTTCTTCTGTCACTGGATCTCCTGTGTCGTCCTCCTCCTCTTTAATCCATTGAATTGGATCTGGTTCCTCTTTAATCCATTGAATTGGATCTGGTTCCTCTTTAATCCATTGAATTGGATCTGGTTCCATCTGATTGTCTTCAGTCCATTGAGGTTCTTCTTCCCTCTGGTTGTGGTTCGGCCTCCTGCCTGCGCTGCAGAGACGTTGGAGGGAGGAAGCTTCCTTCTTAATGGAGACATGCGACTTTTGAAGGTCTGTTTGGGAAAAGGAGGACATCGTTAAATTGATGACCATCTCATTCTGCAGGAAGTCCAGTAATATGACAGAAACTCTCTATGCAGCACTGACAGTTTGGGGTGGCGTTCCTGGTGGAGAGGAAACTAAATATAGTTATTTATTTGATATCAGATTTTGTATTCCAAGTTAACACTAATAAAACCATATAAAAAGTCAAATGAAGACAGAATGCATAAAACAGAAGGGTTTGAAACGGCACCGTCCTTGGAATAAAGAAACACTGTGATCTGAGTCATGATAAGT